CAGGTCGTTATAACACAAAAGACTAATGGGCACACAGCCAGCACCTCAACTACTCAGGATGTTACGAAACAGCTGAACAATCTGCAAACAATAACCCCTACACAGCCAACCAACCCACCTACAGCAACTAAGCCAGCACTCCACACACCCCCACCAATATTTATAGAGAGACGGCAGCTCCGATCACACTTTGCTCGCACAAGCATGAAGCCGAAGACCCCAGCCTGAAGATGACGAGTGGGACCTCATCGAAACGTCGCCAAGATACTCTCAATCTTACACGGGAAAAGACCCAAATACGCCAAGACCTGCATCTTAAACCAAAGCTATTTAATCTACAAAAGTTTAAGATTTTTATCCTGGTGTTTGGATACTTTTATTACTGCCACGATATGTGTATACCCGGGATTCTTGTTTTTAAGATAGATAGATAGATAGATAGATAGATAGATAGATAGATAGATAGATAGATAGATAGATAGATAGATAGATAGATAGATAGATAGATAGATAGATAGATAGATATAGATAGATACAGATATAGATATAGATATATAGATATAGAGATAGAGATAGAGATAGAGATAGAGATAGAGATAGAGATAGAGATAGAGATAGAGATAGAGATAGAGATAGAGATAGAGATAGAGATAGAGATAGAGTTAGATAGATAGATAGAAGATAGATAGATAGATAGATAGATAGATAGATAGATAGATAGATAGATAGATATAGATATAGATATAGATATAGATATAGATATAGATATAGAGATAGAGATAGAGATAGAGATAGATATAGAGATAGATAGATAGATAGATAGATAGATAGATAGATATACATAGATATACATATAGATATAGATAGATAGATAGATAGATAGATAGATAGATAGATAGATAGATAGATAGATAGATAGATATAGAGATATAGATATAGATATAGATATAGATAGATAGATAGATAGATAGATAGATAGATAGATAGATAGATAGATAGATAGATAGATATACATAGATATACATATAGATATAGATAGATAGATAGATAGATAGATATACATATAGATATAGATAGATAGATAGATAGATAGATAGATAGATAGATAGATAGATATACATAGATATACATATAGAGATAGATAGATAGATAGATAGATAGATAGATAGATAGATAGATAGATAGATAGATAGATAGATAGGAGAGAGAGAGAGAGAGAGAGAGAGAGAGAGAGAGAGAGAGAGAGAGAGAGAGAGAGAGAGAGAGAGAGAGAGAGATGAAGAACCCAAATGCATCAGAAAAAGCCAATTGAGTCTATTTTGTCTGTAGTATTAAATAGAAAGGAAGGGAGGGAGGGAGGGAGAGAAGGAAGGAAGGAAGGAAGGAAGGAAGGAAGGAAGGAAGGAAGGAAGGCACTGATTCATCCTAATGCTGTACAGTTTTCCTCAGAGCCTAACTGGTGTGTTGGACTACAACTCTCATAATTCCCAGCCAGTATGGCTAAAGTAAGACATTAAAAGGAGGCTTCAGGGTGCCTCCTTCTTATGTCTCACATGGGAGTAAGAAATTCAACACTACTGTATTTATAAAATTTAGCAGTATGTATTAATTTCAAAGGAATAGAAAGTACAGGATCGGCCGTTTCTTCAAGAGCTAGTATATTCAGAGAGATTTTGCCATACTGGCCATTCTGGCCGGGCATTATGAGAGTTGTTGACTTTTCCTCCAAATCAAAACGGTCTACATTTCACAAGACTTTTGCCACTCCCTGTAGGTTTGTGTTCCATTTTCCACTGACTTCATTGTTTCTTCTTTCGCCCATCCTCCTATTGTGTGAATACACAAATCAGCTCTAACAGGAAGGAGGTAGGCAGTTCTTAGAGATTTATTTTGGCAACTACCAGAACCTCTCAAATTCACATCTGAGAAAATTGTCCAACACACTGGACTTTTTCAAATAGATCCTAGATGAGGGATAGTTTAGTGTAGTGTTTCTCAACCTCAGCAACTTTAAGATGGGTGGATTTCAACTCAGCTTTGCTGGTTGGGAAATTCTGGGAGTTGAAGTCCATCCATCTTAAAGTTGCCAAGGTTGAGAAACACTGGTTTAGTGGATTTTGGAACTGAACCAGGGGCTAGATTAGATGATCTCTAAGCTCCCTTCCAGCTCATGCATTGGATTACTCCTCTTCTAGGCTCCTCCTCAATCCCTGAAGCGATAGGACCTTCCTTCTCTTCTCCTGAGACTGTGATAGCTACTACAGAAATAAATGCAGAATCTCGCTGGTAGTTGCTTGAACTCTGTGCTTTACAGTATTCACTTTCACATCTAATTTCACTAATTATTTATTTCCCCAGAAACAATTTTGACAGATATCGGCAAAAGGTTGCAAAGCAGGCACAAGAAAATGATATTCCATGCAACAAAGGCATCCTTAGTGATTTCAACCTGGTTTTTCTGCCCTTCATCCTTGGTGAACTTCTCCTCTTCTTATAATCTGATTGATAGGAGATGGACATTTCAGCCTCTTTTCTCTGCACTTCTGTGATGGACAGTTGGTTTGGGAGGTTACTCCTCCACTCTTCAAAGCCTTTCTAACTGTTGGAGGTGTGACTGTGGGTTCAAACGGCTCATCGCCATTTTAACACTAAAACACCGTTGTATTCACTTAAGGGCCAGCATTTGCCTGTCTCTTGCGCACTCCTGGAAAATAAAAACTGGTATCTCATTTCTCCTGCTGGGTTTCTCCTGTTTTGGTTTTGATATATACTGGAGTCTCTTATGGGGTGCAAAAAGTTGGAAAAGTTTTCCATGAAGTACAAAAATGCAGAAAACCGTCAAGCACCAGGGAAATCAGGAGATTCAGGCAGTTCAAAGCAGTATAAAGGTTTATTGCAAGCTTAAGTTCTCTACAAGAATCTGATCAACTAACGGTCAAAGGAAATGAGCGGGAGATAAGAGAGGAATTCAAGGTGGGCTGGACTTAGATCTCTTATGGGCACGCAGGGACTCATGACTTATGATGCGTTTGACCCCCTCCCTCAGGTTAGCCCTGTCATCTCCTACAAAAACATCATTCATGGGCCATTGGCAAAGTGTTGCTGAATTTGTGTCTACTATGTGATACCAAAGGAGAGAGAGAATGTGTGTGTTGGAGCTCAGGACAATTTGACATTGACTTCTAAGCAACCAATATGGGCATGGGGCCCTGTTCCATCTCCAAATGCCTTGTATTTGGTCCACTTGAGCCCTGACGATGTAAGCTAGTTTGGCAATGAAATGTCTGCAAGAAAACCACCAAGCTCGGAGAGCACCAAGGACCCCACAATTCAACCTTGAGCCGGCCATTTGTAAGGCTTTGAAGCCACATTTTGCCACTTTGGACATCTAGCTGCATAGTAGAATCTGCTCAACGGCTGCATTAAATGTGGCCGAATTTTCTTTATTTTGGCTGCTGATTACATTATATGGTTTTTAATATATTTGATATGGGGTTTATGTTTTATATGCTTTTTCAATATATTTTGTTTATTGTTTGGGGTTGCGTTTAGTCGTATAGTTGAGATAGGCAGTTATACAAATTGATATATCGGTAATATATAAACAAACCAGGACTACTTGGAATAGCCATGCAATACCAATACTTCAGGAGCTACGCTGTTAACGGTTTGTTTCCTGGTACTGGTTTGTTGTGACTGATTATTGTTCTCATTTGCTTTTTCCATTCTGTAGAATGAAAGAAAAAAAGTCAGCAAGAAATAATTACAAAACAATCCAATCAAGTGAGCTCAAAATCCAGTAAACAAGTATTAACCCTAAAACCAGTGCTTTTTTTGTAAAAAAAAAAAAAAAAAAGGTGCTGGAACTCACACATGTCATACAACCAGCCTTGCCTACCCTACAAGGTTCCATCCAAAAAAGTTGCCGGAACTCCGTTCTGGGTGTTCTATGACAAAAAAAAGCCCTTCCTAAAACAATCAGCAACATTTTAAAACAATGTACTTTTTAAGCTGGAAAATTATCACTTTTATAGCCTCCCTTCCTTATGGAACCTGGCTATTGGGCAGTTGTTGCTCCAGCTCCAAGGTAGACCTAGGCCAGGGGTAGGCAACCTTGGCTCTTTTATGACTCGTGGACTTCAACTCCCAGAATTCCTGAGCCAACATGGCTCAGGTTGGAAACCTCTCCCTTTCCCCTCAGCATGGCTGGCTCAGGAATTCTGGGAGTTGAAGTCCACAAGTCATGAAGGGGCCAAGGCTGCCTACCCCTGCCCTAGGGTTACCAAACATTCATCAAAAAGAGGACAGGTCCTCCCTTTTCTCTTCATATCCTCTGTCTGGTAGTCATAGCCTTAAAATCAAACAGTGTCTGGTTTTAAGAGCAGCTATTCTCAATCTTTTGAGCCTGGAGGAATCCTTGAAACATTTTTCAAGCTTCGAGGAATCACTGTACATTCAGGCTCAAAAATGGGCCAGGGGTTACCAAAATATTATATTCATTTCATAGTAGGCCTGTATATGCATCCACAGTGTTCTTAAACTAAAAATAAAGAAACTTTTTCCTTTCCTCTGCCTCCTTCTTCCTACTCTCAGCCTCTGTGGGTAAGGAGGGGTAGGGCCAGCCCAGCCCTAGATCTCTTGCATCTGCCCTAAGATGGAGCCTCCCAGGCACCTGAAGAAAGGCAAGCATGCCAAGCTGGCATGCAGGTTTGGAGGCTCCGGTGGCATTGGCGTCTCTCTCTTACACATGCTGTCTTACCACCTGTTGCCCCTCCTCCCTCCTCAGCTCAGCTCAGCTCCACTTACTTCTCATACTTCAGCCTGGACTTTGCTCACCTCCCTGCTTGCATGTGAGTGACCCCTGCCCCCCTCCCCTGGGGTGCATGGGCACTTTTGCATTCCCTGGTGGGGAATCCCAGGGTTGGAAGGTTTTTGTTTGGTCTCTGCTTTTAAAAAATAAATCAAAATATCTCAAGGAACCATTAAGTGACCTCTCATAGAACCCTAGGGTATCATGAAACCCAAGTTGAGAAACCCTATTTTAATATCCAACCGAGACTCCTTTCCCAGAGTAGAGTCAAGTTAGTAAGCATCACCTTAAAATGACAGTTTAATTAGTTGCATGCTGAAGACTTTGTTTCCCAACCCACCCCAGCACCCTAGGCCAGTGGTGGCGAATCTATGGCACGGGTGCCAGAGGCGGCACTTGGAGCCCTCTCTGTGGGCACACGTCCCTTTGCTCCAGCTTCGCCTCCCCCCCGCAACCCCCTCCTCTCTAGCAGCCCCCCTGGAGGAGAGTCGCCCCCGAGCGTGGCCCACACGGAGCAATGCAGCCAAGGACATGGCAGCCAGGCAGCATAGACAAGACTCTGCCCTCATGCCCCATCGCACACAGTTGATGGTGCGGGGTGCGAGCAGAGAGCGTGGCTGCCATGGCACTGCTGGGCTGCCTGGGTGATCTGTGGCGGGCCCTGGAGGCGGTGAGTGGCCATGCGGGCAGGCGGGGAGGGGGAAGGGGGGCGGGGCAGGGGACGGGGCAGAGGCGGGGCCAGTTTTTGGGCACTCGGTCTCTAAAAGGTTTGCCATCACTGCCCTAGGCCAACAGCTCCTGCTAGCAGGTTTTTCCCTAATGTGTTCCCTACTGTGTGCCTGTTTATTCTCTTGTAATCCCTTTCTCTCCAATGAATGTAAATACAGATAATAAACAGTGTGTCCTTTTTTCCCCATGTGTCCTCTTTTCCAATTAGCCATGTTGTGCTTTGTCTATTCAGATAACTGGTGACCCTAGACAGATTTGCAGAGCACATGTTCTGTCTCCAGAAAATACGACAAGGAGGGAATCGGCAGCAGGCATTTTCAGCACAGCCTTCCTGCTGTGAGAACTCCGTTAACTCTGGATCTAAGAATAGTATCTTCACTCCTGACATTTAGGAAATTGTTAAAATCTTGTTCTTTTGAGGAATATTTGGGCCATGAAAATGAGGGATGCACATGCTGGAGGTAAAATATGGCATGGAGTGAATGTAATGCTGGTTAATGATGGTTCTGAGAGAGTTTGTACTGTATGTCATTAGAATGCAATTTGAGATACATTGTTACTGCGTTTCAGAATAAAAAGTGTCCACATTTATGGCTGACTAGATACCCCTTATAGATTTTTTTCATGAAATAGAAAAAAAATGCACATATGATTTGTGGTTTTAGATTAGAAGAAAACTGGATAATAAAAAATAGCTTTTTCTGGACCCATAGAGCAAGAGATACAGTAATATTGTAATTGTGTATTTGCTGCAAAGAAAATTGGGGAGCTCTTCTTTCTATTCCCTTTTACTCCTTTTTCTAACACTTCTGCTTTTTTTTCTTTCTTTGCTCCTTTTACTCGTTATGTGTTAATTTTATGTTCTTTGTAAGACTTTTAATTAAAACTATTTTAAAAGATTCACTATTTTGTTGAGGTTGCTTAGATTTGTACCAACTGAAGTAGCACATCAGCCCAGGAAACTCTTCCATTATGAATCATTGTTATGGTGCCCTACACTGTGTGAATCCAATGGTGTTTTATACAGTAAGCCATAGTTTTGTCACTATGTTTGAAATGTAGGAACGGTGACAGAAACTGGGGGGAATAGAAACTGGGGGAAATGGGATAGTTAAAAAGGGGGAAAGAAAGAACACAGGCTTTTTGTGGGCTGTGTGTTCCCAGACCCACAAAGTAGCCAAGCCCACATTACCATCTTCTGTTGTACAATATGAATTTAGCACTGCGGTTCATAAATCCCACCATTCTGGAATAGTGGAATGAGCCAAGGGCAAGCCTACAGCGTAGCCCAGTGCTTCCCACACCTGGATAAATTACTCCAGATTGTCTAAAAGTGTTTTTTTTTTTTTAGGTACTGACACACAACCCGTTACCCCAGGGGTAGTCAACCTTGGCTCTTTTATGACTCGTGGACTTCAACTCCCAGAATTCCTGAGCCAGCCATGCTGGCTCAGGAATTCTGGGAGTTGAAGTCCACGAGTCATAAAAGAGCCAAGGTTGACTACCTACCCCTGCGTTACCCTATCAAAACAGCGACTTTCTGATAAGCCGTTTTGGATAACGAAGAAAAAACTTCCGAAAGTCCCGCCCTAGCCAGATCTCAGCAGCAGAAAGGCAAGCCCGCTTGGCAACCGGAGCACATCTGCGCAGACCAATCAGAGGCGCGGAAGGGACGTAGCGGCGCCTCTCTCTGGAGCCGGCGGTCGCGGGAGGCGGACCCTTGACCAAAGCTTCGGCAGAACTTCATTTCCCAGAAGCGATTGCGGCGGCTCCAATCCATCTCTCTCTCTCTCTCTCTCTCTGGCTCAGCTGGCAGGTGGGCGGGAGGGCTGGGAGTGGTTGCAGCTGCGGGCGCTTTGCGCTTAAATCTCCAGGAGCGCCTCTCCGCTGCGCTGGTTGGGCTTGTTGTTGCGGCTTGGCGGAGGCTCCGCCGAGGAGTAGGAGAAGTTGCAGGGGGCGCGGAGACCCGAGGTGCCGGGAAGAGAACGGAAGTCAAGGTCCACTTCTACAGGCGCGCCCCGGGAAGCCTTTTTCTTCTCCTGCTGTTTGCGAACGATCTCGGAGGCGGAGAGCTGCTCTAGCGGGTCGGGTCCTGTCGCCGCTTGTACCCCCATGTCAGGATTTTCAGTGTCCCTTCTTGGGGTTTTTTTGTCCTGATTCTAACGCCTTGCTCCAAACTTGGCAATTTGCAAGGGGGGGGGAAATGTTTCTTGGGGTCATGGTGTAACACGCCTTACAGTGTCCGCCTCTGTATAAAGACCGGTATAAAACCCAACCGGGA